GTTAGTGGATCCTATGAGTTACGTCAAGTTCCTGACACATGGTGAGGCCTCAGTCATCGCTAACTATTATTATCTTAGCCAGGCTTATGAGGATCCAACCAGATGGCATATGTAAGCACAGGTCCTCTCGACTCAAAGGTGCTGTACAAACAGGAGGAAAGAGTATTGTTTTGGAAATATTGAAGGCACAGCTTCTCTCCCACATTTGTCTGGGGTGGGGCAACAATTTCCCTTATTTAATGTTAGACTAGAGATGCACAAAAGGGAGGTGAAAAACAGAAACCGCCGACCGTTTGAGCTGTAGGCTGCACCAGAGCAGTGTGGCCGGTGCAGATGGTGAGGGCCCGGGCAGGCCCACTTCCTCCCTGCGTGCCCTGGGCCTTCCTCATACCAGACGCTTCCCAGAGCTGCAGGAAGTGGGGCCAGGAACTCTTCAGGGTGTGTGCAGGGAGGCCTGGGCAGAGGGGTTGGCAGCCACCAGGGTGAGAACAGAAAACTTCAAGGTCCTGGCTGGGTCCTGGGGCCCCTGGGGCCATGGCCCCTGGCCTCTCTCTGCTCCACATGGGTTTGTAGCAGACGCGTCTCTCTCCACCTCTTCTCTCGACCGCTTTGCAAGCGGTCGAACAAGAGGCGTCCAACCCGTGAGAGGCAGGCTAGAGAGGAGAGCCGAATCTTTTCTCAAAGGAAATGCATTTGTGGTTTGGAGACGTTCATTTCACATCTGTGGTTGGCGTTTCCCAGGGTTCTAAGAGGTGAATGCAGGGTCAGCCCCAAGTCACCAAATAAGGTTCACCAGTGACCTTAGCAACAGGCTTTGCTGCCCATTGGCTGCCACGGGCCGCCGCCTGCCAGTGCAGATTCCCGGAGGCCAGCCCCGAAGCTGGGCCGAAGCTTCCACATGCCCCAGGGAGCCAGATGCTCCCTGTCAGGAATCGGTGCCCTTTGAAGCAACCACAGGTAGGGGGAAAGCTCCGGGCAAAGGTGCCTGGGTGCCTGGGTGTCTGCGTTTCAGAGTCCAGCCCGCCAGCACGGCCGTTCGCACACAGCCCCGGGTCAGCTCCCGCAGCTGGCTGGCCTGATCCCCGCTTGCCAGGATGAGCTGTTCCCTCCCGCTCCTGTGCCCACTGTCAGTCTCGGGAACTCCACAGGTCCCATTTCATAGTCCTGCATGTGTCTCCTTTGTGCCAGCACTCTGCTAAGCTCCCTCTTCACATCGTCACTTCACCCAGGAGCCCAGTGAGTCCAGTTAGCACCCTTTTACAGATGGGGGGAAACTAAGACCAAAGGAAGCCAGCTGACTGGCCCCAGACTGCATCAGTAAGTAGGGAAGCCACGAGTTAAGCCCAGTTTACACAGGCCTGTGTCGCCACTCAGTGTCTCTGTGCCTCAGGGCCTTCATCTGTGACATGGGCGTGACTGCGTGGACCTCTCAGTGTTGGTGCACAGTGAAGGCTGCGTGCAGTGACTTACGTGCAGGAATCTAGGGCAAAGTGCACTTTGTTTGGCAGTCCACCTTGGCACCAGTGGGCTTGGCGCCTGCGAAGGCCGCTGCAAAGGCAGCTTGCACGTCTCTCTCCCACGGAGTGTGCTGCGGAAACACTGAGGTTTGTGAACCGGACTTCTCTGTGGCCCTCGTATTTGGTTTCCACTTCCTCATTCTCAGCCACCTCCCACCCCCACCCAACTGCATCACTGAGGTAGGGAGGCCGGAGCCGAGCCTGCTGCCAAGGGTCCCCGGCCTGTGGGTACCGGAGGGCACAGGGTGGCTGGCGGGGCTGAAGGGGACAAGATGCGGAGGACGGAAGGTGGGCTGATCAAGCCGCAAGGGCAGGCATACCTCATTTCCTCTACCCCAGACAATGCTGGGGTGTGACAGCACTATTTCCCTGAGAAACATTTTCAGAATTAAAAAGTACATCTGGTGATCTGGTAAAGAAGAAGATACACATACCCTGTAACCCAGCAGCTCCACTCCTCAGACTCTGCTCTGACCAAACTCTTACCCACCCTGTGCACGAGAATGTCCACGCGACCCCAGGAAGGGTCCACATGCCCATCAGCATCTGAGAATGCGCAGAACCTGTGCAACATTCCTGCAGTGAAAATGAATGAGCCACAGCGACTTGCAAAGCTGTAGTATTGGATAATAATACTGTAATAATGAATAACTCTCATCAACATAAGATTGAGTAAAACACACAACAGAACGCATCCAGTATAATTCCTTTCAGGAAAAGTTTAACAGCTGGCAAAGACAGACTGTATTGTTTAAGGATACATGCGGAAGAGGTAAAACTATTAAAAACCACAGAAATTACTGTCACAAAAGTCAACGTAGACTTGACCACAGGGGAGGGTGGGGGTTGTGAGGAGGAGGGGCCCACGAGGGTCTTGGGAAGGGGGTTGGCATCGTTTCATCCCCTGACCTGGTGGCGGTTATACAAATATTTGCTTTATATTTTATAATTGTTAAACTGAACATATTAAAAACACTGAACATACGTGTTGTGCATTTTTCTGCATGATTATTGATTCTCGACGAGAAATAAAGGTATATGTCTGTCCATTCCAGCCCTGAACCGTGCAGTGAGTGGAGGCTGTACCTGCGGGAGCCTCTCTTGGATCAGCTCCTCAAGAGGGCCACACTGGTTGCTGAGTTGTAACTCTTACTGCAGACTGAGGGGTCTTGGCGGGAGTGGACGATAAAGACTGGTAGGCAGGGTAGGATTGGAGGACATCCTTTGACAGGTCACTACCGCCGGGGAAGGTCAACCAGGGGTTCCTGACTCTGTCGCCTTAGGGGCTGGCATTTCCTAAGGTTGTCACTTGTTTTATTCATCCTTATTTTTCTAGACTGGAATAGGCCAGGGATGACAGTCAATAAATGTTTGCTGTGTCAGCAAGTATGTAGAGTATACGCCGTGGAAAGTAAAGCCTCCTCAGGTCCCAGAGAGGCAGCCCACCAGGCCCCCTGCTTCTCCGATCCGTCCGCAGATCAGCCCAGGCAGCTAGAGCAGGCCTCCTCGGGGGGCGCGCGGGGCTGATGCACACTGGCCGCGAGCTCGTCCGGTGTTACAGACGACCCTCCTCTGTCTTTTCCAAGCTAAATATCACCAGTTTCTACCGCTGCTTGTCTTCTAGCCCTCAGCATTCTAGTTGTCCAGCCTGGAGAGGCAAAGAGTATCCAGATGTAGTCTGAACATGGATGCAAATGGACAATTTGGGTTTGTGAGCTTTGGCAGTCGCTGTGGTCAAGCTGTGATGGAATGGGCCTCTGACATGGTAGAAAGGGTTAGGGTTGCTGCTCATCACTTTTCTTTCTGTGGTGTTCTCATGGCCTTTACGTAGACACTTTTGTGAGCTTGTACCCCGTGCCGTATGGTCCTTGTCACCAGTGTTGTATTTTCCCTCAACTCACCTGGAGTCTCCCTGAGAGCTGGCTTGTGGTAGGCACTCCATAGATACTAGCTCATATTATTTATTTTGTTGTTTTATTCTTTGAATGAACAGTCGTGGATTCGATGTCATTTACTGAGCATGTACTATGTGTTAGGCATCGCTGGGTGCCGGAATATCACAGTGGACAAAATAGGCCCACTCTGGGAAGACTTGGTTATTGAATGATGAACCCCGGTGTAGCTCACTGTGGTCAACACTGCTACCACCAGACATTCACTGGGTGCCCTCTGTGTGTTCCACTCACAGCCCCCTCGCCCCAGTGCATGAAGGTGGGCGTTGTTGTGGAGGACACCACGGGTGGAGGGGAGGAGCAGTGAGCTTGAAGTGAACTGACTAGAGGTCAAGTCCTAGCTCTGCCACACATGGACCATGTGACCATGGGTGAGTTCACTTGGCCGCTCTGAGTTTCAGTTATATTATGTTTGACACCCGTCAGAGGCCAGGGAGAGATAGGGTCCCCACACTGCACAACTCCAGGGGGTGCTGTTCTCATTTTCATCTCTGCTGTGGCTGTTGGCCAGGGATTAAATGAGAACACAGTGGCTGTGTGGGCTGAAATTAAGGGCCAACAAATGGGAGCTGTTGTTATGCACGAATCAGAGGGAAGCAGGGGTCACTGCGGGCCAGCAGGCTGCACAGGGCCCACCAGGCTTTGTTCTTCAAGGAAGGGCAGGGCTCTGAGAAGTGCAGCCTGCGAGGTAGGCACATGCCAGCAGGCAGGGACTCCCAGGGTGAATCTGGGAGAGGCAGATTGCTGAGGGAGGTGGTTTCTACCTCAAGGCCTGAGGAAGGAATTCTCTACGCCCAGGGAAGCCCCTGGAAGCTGGGCAGGGAGCAGGGGTGGGCGAGGGGAAGGTGATGTCTCTTCATTATTGGGTTGCAAAGGACCCTTCAGAGCATCCTGTCCAGCCTCTTGTTTCACCAGGCCCTCGGGCCCTGGCAGGGGAAGTCCTGAGTCTCCAGGGTGCCACGGCAGGGATCTGGGCCGACTCCCACCTGTGCAGAACCAGGTTCATCCCTGGCTTGTGGCCCTATAAAAGGTAGTCCTGGCATTTTTGATATAAATGTATATCACCCTTTACATAAATGTAAAGGGTTTTTCTGACTGAAAGTAATTATAAGTCATTGTAGAGCACTTTTAAGTTACAGAAATAGTAAATAAATAAATACAATCACCTATAATCCCACCACCCAAACACAGTCACCATTAGTATTCTGACCCGTTCCTTCTAGTAGGTAGTCCACATAAAATTATACGTTATATATTCATTAGATTGGAATTGTATTGTGTATAATTTCATGGTCTCCTTTTTCCCTATTAAAGATGTGAGTGTTTTTATGAGAAGGAGGGACTGTTTTTAACATAAAAGAAACTCTAGAAAATTTTTTTCCTTTGGGAAGAAAAAAAAAAAAAGCACAAAGCCATCGTCCGTGGTGGTCGGGAGGACACCACGCTGGCTGTGGAGTGTGGCTACGTCTCATGTCTGCGGAGGCTCCGAGGCAGGGGCTCCGACAGAGACAAGTGTTGCTGTTTCCTCCAGGCCGGGCCGCATGCAGCCTGTGGGCAAAGCAGAGCAGAGCGGATGAGTGTGCCTTCCCTTCCGTTCCCAACACAAGATGTGTGATCACCCACTCCATCCAGAGGCACATGTGGTTCATCGCTATTGTTTATTAATAAAAACCAGCGTCTCCGTCGGTGCAGCATGTTTTCTCTTGTGTTACCACCCCCTGTGAGGCAGGTAAGAGGGAAGCTGTTACACCCATTGTATAGATGAAGAAACGGAGGCTACGGGAGGTCTCATCTGAAGCCACGCGGCTAGTAAGCGGCAGAGTGGGGACTTGATGCAGATCTGGCTGACTTCCAAGTGAGTGATTTTTCCCTCGAAACTTTTTTCCTTCTGGTCCTAGCTTTTTCTGAGCTCAGTTGGATTCCCTGAATGAAGCCAAAGGCTGAGAGTGCTGTCAGTGTAATGGGCGCGTGGAAAGGACAGAACCCCACGCTGGGGGGACAGCTCAGAGCCAGCGCCGCCGGAGAGCAGGGGAGTGGGTTCAAGGAAGCAGCTGTTTGCTGGAGACACGTCCTGCAGAGCCACTCTTCTTGACCCCCCCCAGGCCACGGAGGCCCGTTCTCTGCCCAGCGCTCTAGAGTCCCAGTGACTCCCAGAACGGAATAGGGTCTTCCACAGGGAGACTCGGGGGCTCTGTGAGACTGACTCCAGGGACGTGGGGTGGCTGCCTCCCTCAGCTGGTTTCCCCTATTGCTGCCGTCACAAAGTACCATAAACTAAGTGGCTTAAAACAACACAAATTACAGTTCTATAGGTCAGAAGTCCAAAACTGGTCCCACTGGACTAAACTCGCAGTGTCAGCCGGGCTCCATGCCTTTCCCAGAGGCTCTAGTAGAGAATCTGTTTCCCTGCCCCTTCCAACCTTCAGAGGCCACCTGCAGTCCTTGGCTTGTGGCCCCTTCCCCCATCTTCAAAGCCAGCAATGGCTTTCACATAATGCCGCCTCTCTGCTTCTGCTTCTCATCCCTCCTTCTTCCCCACTTAAGGATCCTCACATGACTACGCTGGATCCATCCAGATAATCCAGGGTAATCTCTTTAAGTAGCTGATTACAACCTTATTGCTACCTGCAACCTTAATTCCCTGTTGCCATTGAGATAACATATCACAGATTACACGCATTAGGATGTGGACATCTTGATTCCACCGTGGACCATAATTCTGCCTACTCCTCTGGGTCTCCAAGGACCTCATCTTTAGGCATAGACAGCCAGACCACAATCAGGATGTGCCCACCTGTGTCAGAGAGGTCCTTTCTGCCCAGGTCCACTCCCGCCTGCCTGCTTCTCACTCAGTTCAACCTGTCCTGGACTCCTATGTTCCCAGCCTTAGGTAGAGAGAAGCGAGGCAGGCAACACGCACAGGTTTGGACACAGAGAAGGAGGATATGAGGCCAGGTGCACCAGGGCAATGGGAAGCCCCAGGGGGCTGAGCACTTCCCACCCAGAGACGCTGAACTTTCTAAGAACCGGGGCCAGAGCCTGGCCTGTGAGGTCTCAGACCCTGAGGTCTAAGGGCGGCTCTCGGACAGGAGGGGTAGCTGGCCAAGTATTGGAGCCCCTCCACCTCTGCATCCGGGATGCTCTGGACAGCCAGAGTTCACCTGGCCATCTTCCCTCAGGGGATGATGCCTGTCTGCCCTTACTCATTCCCTTTCCCCTCTCCTTCGCTGGGCCTCAGGCTGGAACACTTGGAGGGGGGTGCCCAGAGGGAACCTCTGTACCAGAGCTGCTTGGTGAACGCCTGCGGGTTCTGAGACCCAACGGGATGGCCGGTGGGCAGTGCACAGAGGGGCTGGGCAAGGCCTTTGGCTCTCCAAGTACAGTGACCACCTCGCCCCAGTTTACCCAGGACTTTCTCAGTGGTAGCACTGAAAATCCCTCGCCTCTGTCCTGAGCAAACTGTGACTGTTGGTTACCCTACGTCCAAGGCCCTTTGTACCTCCTAATCTACTCTAGATTACCTCTGCTGCCTGGACAGCCGGCTCTTTGGACTCTTAGATGCCAAGCTCGGCACAATGTGTGGGCGTGGAGAGACCTGTGGGCTGAGGAGGGACCCCAGGCCAGTGCTGGGCAGTCTCGACTCCTGCTCGCAGCGCTGCCGGTGGACATGTCACACACATGGAGTTCATGCCTGTGTCTACATGGGACGGAGCTTCTAGATACCTGCATGGGGGGCATGAGCAATTGTGCTTGCGCCTGAGCCTCTCAAACTGTAAAAGCCTGATTACCTGGGTCGGGTATTGCAGGTGGTTTTCATGAATGTGTCTCTTCACTCATCTGTGTTTCTTTTTCTGTACAATTAAACTTTTTACTTGTGTACATTGTTAACAAAAGAAAGTAATGAATGACTGCCTTCACATCTCCAGCAGTCCTGCTGAGGGACGTGGGCGGGACGCACTGCACGTAGCGGGACACAGCAGCCCTTGTGCTGGGGCCTGTGGCCCTGGCCGCTGGTTGATCACGGTCCGCGGCTCTACTGCAGGGGTAGAGCTACCTGCCGACTGTCCTCCCTGCCCGTCAGCCTGCCCCCCTGCACTCCAGAGTCCAGCCTGGCTTGTCCCGCAGGGGAGGGCTCAGAGAAGCCAGGTGGGCAGATGGACAGAGCAGGTAAGCAGATGCTGACCCAGGGTTTTCCAGGAGATGCTCTCGAGGGCCAGTCCTGCCTCAGCCCTGTGAGACTACAGACGAGATGAGCTGCTCGCTTCTGGGGAGCTTCCAGTCTGGTCGGAGAGATTGGGTTCCCCACAGACCACAAGGGGAATGGCAGACAGGAAGGGGACAGGCACTGGATGGTGAGGCTTTGCTCATGGGGGCCATCAGATAAGGGCGGGCCCCCGGGGTCACCTTGTACATGTCTTAGGATGGCCAGAGACCAAAAATGGGGTCCTACTGAGTGACCTGGGGCAGCCCCCACCCCCAATAGGGGTAGATGGTCTCTGGAACCAAGAACTCTGGCTGCTGGCCAATTAATGACAGCAGGGTGGTGATGAATGGTCACCAGCCTTGGAAAGTTTGGCACCCCTTCAGGCCCTCCTCTCTGCCCTGCCCTGCCCCCCGTGTATTTGGGAGTGCCAGGCTCCATACCTAGAAGCACAGCCCGCACCTCTGGCTCTCCTCCCCAACCTGGAAAGCCCAGCAGGAGCATTTGGAGGGGAGCTCTGTGTCCCCGGCAGAGGCAGTTACCCTTCACCTCCCACAGGCAAGGTCAACAGTGCCCACCGAAGTCCACCATCACCCTGGTGTGGCTAAAGTGACACGACTTCTAGATTGTTCTTAGTTTTAGGACAGCGGCTGCTATTCTGGTCTAATAATTCCCTCCCTCTCCCTGCCTGATCTCCCAACCCCAACTCTGTATCCATATGACTCCCTCTATTCCATGAAGTCAAATTTCTCAGAAAAGCCTGGCACAAAATCCCCACCACCCACATCCCAGGACTCCTATGGCCTCGGCACCTCCGTTGCTCCTGAACTAAGATCCCAGGCATATCCCTTCACCTCTCTTCGCAAAGATGTGGCTGAGTATTTGTAATTGCTGTGGAAGAACTCACTGCGCCTGCCCTAATGCTGGGCCGATTCAGCATTGACAGCGTGAGTGGGAAGTGGCAGGGCAGAAACAGAGAAGGACACCCAGGCCAGGCCAGGGCGTTTGTCCAGAAATGGAAGTGAGGACCCCACCGTCTGGGCTGGGGTCGGGAGGGTGGGGAAGGGCTTTGCCTAAAGGAAGCCTGCAAGTGAGTCTGAGAGCCCCCCGATGTAGGGTGGCAACCAGCCAGTTGCCAGGGGTGCTGGACTTTCTCAGGGACCGAGAAGCCAGGTGAGACTCAGGACAGCCATAGCGTGACCCCAGTCCCATGGCTGGGAAGTGAGGATACACCTGGGAGTTCAGATTTCTGAGCACCCCAGGCAGGACCTAGCAGAGGGTCTGGTTTCAAGCAGGAGAACAGGAGAGGTCTCGTTGCCTTGCTTCCACAGAAGTGCCACGGAAACATCCTCTTTGATCCCTAGAGCAGCTGAGATAAGGCCTAGCAGGCCAGAGTCCCCTGCAGTTGGAAGCAGGTTCACAAACACACTGGGGTGGCTCTGTTACAGGCCTGTCTGTGTCCCATCCCCCTGGGGCCCCACCCCATGAAACCGCAGGTGGCCTCCAGGGCATAGGTAAGGCATCCCTACCCTGAGGACCAGGCCAAACCCCACCCCACTGGGGCCCAGGGGCCTGGAGCAGCAGAGCCATGTTGCCTAGGAAGAGGAGGAGCAGGGGAGCTGAAGGCAGGGGCGAAGTCTCACGGTGTCCAGAGCGGATGTGGCTTTTGTTGCCTTCCCTCCGTGTCCCCACATGCTCTCTTGACATGAAGTGCTAGTGCCCCGCCCCAGGCAGACTCTCCCGAACGTCCTTCCCAGGCCTCAGTTTCCTCCTCTGCTGACAATCTGATACTGTGGGAACGCGTCTGGGCTCTGGGCACAGACGGGTGTGGATTGGAATCCAGGCTCCATGGTTTTTAGCTGAGTCCTCAGGGGCAAGCGCCCTGTACCAACTGAGCTTTGCTCACCTGGTCTACAAACAAGGTGCTGTGGTGGGTAGTGCGTGTGGGGGGTTTGGCACAGCCCTGCTGCAGAGTGAGCACCTGAGACCTTGGTTGTCATTACCTAGCCAGACTTTGAGGTTCTTCCCAGTTCTTCCCTTTTGTGAGTTTGTGGAACTGGAGGAGGGATGGCGGGCTGGATGTCTGCTTCTCCTGTTGTACTCAGTCCCTGTGTCCTTGCCTCATGACCTCTAGCATCTCCCCAACTGAAATTAAACTGTTAGCATAGACTTCTTAGGCCTGCCTCCCCACTGAGCCTACGGAAGTGGGGGCTGCTTCTACAATTCCCTACCCCCCAGAATATCAGCAGGAATGGTTTTCTTGGGAGCTGCCTGGAGCTAGGAAAACCACATGGCCAGCCAGCTATGCCCTTGCACTGCCTTAGACTTGGCCTCACAAGAGATCCCTGGCGGGCAAAGACAAACGTCACTCTGCCCAGTAGGTTTAATCCCAGCAAAGGGAGCACACCAGTTCCCTGTTCTCCTGCCCTTGTGACCACTGGCATAAGTGGGGAGAGGTCAGTGCCAGGGTCCAATGACTTTCAT